ATCAACCTGGAACCCCCTCTCTATGCTGTTTAAAATAAAATTCTGATACAAAATCAAATTTGTTGATTTCGACCTACCCATTAACTCATGCTGTTCCGTATTTGAAAGATATCTACAGACCCAGCTTAGGTTACTGGTAATGATATAATCCAGAAACTCAGGAATCTCAGACTGTGTGCAAACTACCCTGTAGTTTGAGACCTTTTCTCTTGAATATTGGTTTCAAAAAGCTGAACTTCCACAAAACCGGTCATGAACCTGTCGAGGGAATTCTATCGAGCTCACATGAAAACTTATCAGGCGACTTTTTTACTTGTATAAATCTTAGCACAAGAAACAGAATATCCAGAAACATCAGTGACGTTAGAAAATGAGTATTCCGGAGCCTGATTAGTTGTACGGCTCAAGTAAATACTAGAAAACAAGTTTACAGTATCTTGATTACTACAGCCATTATAAGTCATGTTACAGAGAAGAACAAAGTTATTTCTGAGATTGTTGAAATGTGACCAAAATGATCTAAGATTCATGTTATTTTCAGTTTTGAGCAGGTACATTTCATAAGAAAAGTCCCTCAAATCCTTGCACCTATCCCTCACATCAGAGAACATAGGTAACGACCCTATGTATATATTATCTACTCTTATTCTTAATTTTTGATGGCTGTCGACTGTAGACTATAAACCTGTCCTTCTACTTGATTGTAATTTGCTTCAATAGTTTCAGTTCCCCCATATTCGATCATAATGTATCCGTGTGATTTCGATACGTTGACCAAAATTTCTTTCCCGCTATTTCTAAGAAATATAATTATTTGTTCAACCGCAGATGTCGCAAATGTTTTTTGGTCACTTGGTTCCCACAATTTAATCACTTTAGCCTTGCTTTTAATATCTTTTCGGTGTCTAATTTATGGGTTCATCTTGAGGTTCAGGAACTTCGTGATGTCAGGTGTACTTATTATATTTGAATGTTGCGCCAAAAAAAAAACCCCAGACAGAGAATATAAATACATAGTCAAGAAATTATCCGTTCTTTTCTTCAGTGACAGTAATGAGAAAATCTAAGACAAGAAAAACTAAGACAAGAAAAACTAAATTAGTTATAGTAATGGGTAATTAATACTCTATTTTCTTCTCGGCGCGAAAAAAGATTATGGTAAAAACCTTGAGCACTCGCATGTAAAAAGAGCAAAGAGCAATTTAAAAGTGAAATGAATAAGAGCTAATTGGCCACCTGTGGATAAAAAATTTACCCTTTTTGTTTGAGAAATAGGAGAAAATATAAAACTACGGAGATTGTTTTAATTGGACATGCCTCTTCTTTTCGTTCGTTGTTTCGTAAAATTTTCAATTATCATTTTCAAATCTAGCAAATTTAAATTGTAAAAGAATCCGTTTTTTTTTTTTGTGCCACCAAAGAAAATAATTTGTTATTTCTCAACAAGATCCTTTTGAGTGATTTCTTTTTATTCGAAAACTCGTGTACAAAGCCTCAAATCTAAACATTAGACGTGGAAAAATTATTCTCCGTCTCGACAAGAATGACATTTTAATAACGAGGCCCGAGGAATGTTCAATTTAATTTTATTGTCCCCAGGGTTTTGCCAACTTGTATTTTAAAGGCGACGACTGGACTTTTCCAGGATTCCTTCAGTAAACTTTTGGCCTGTGGAAAATTCCATATGTTTTATTATTACCACATATGTGACTTCGAAAAAATTCTCTTCTGTTAAAAGTTACTGTTGTAAAGTTTATTAAGTTTTAGAAGAAATATTTTCTAAAACGACTAGACGTCTGTTTAATGTCGAAACTCTACTAAAATAGCTTCGGCGGCCGGAAGTTTTCTATGTGCTTCCAAAACCGTACGAGACGAATAATAATTTATCGTGGAATAAGAGGACTCAGAATGGAAATGTGTGTGTTTCTGGTTGCGACGTGCGAGGAAATAATGTGATTACGACCGGGAACTAAACAAATTATTTATTATTGGAAATGTCAGCTTCACAATATTCGTCTTTGTGAGTTATCGTTTTCAGACATACCATACGATTCATCTTTCAAGGGCCTGAAACCAATAAAAAAAAGTACAAAAAGGATGGAGTGGATTTCGACGTTAGAACTCAAATAAATTACCAACAACCTGAAAAGATGAGCATGCAATTAATATGGTTGAATTATTAGTGGACTGTATAGCGAATATTGCGTCCTTATTAAACGAAAAAATAAAAAAATAAAGTGAGGTCATGCAAAAAGGTTATTTGTTGCTTACCCAATTTGGCTTTTGTGGTATTGTAACTTTGGGGCGCCCCTTGAAGGCTTAAACACACGATCAATTGTTAAACGACGAAAAATGGACGAAAAACTCAACGGTTCAAACAAAATCATCGGTTCTCGTTTAATTCATCCCGTGTACTCAACTTCCCTAATAATTATCTTACAAATTGGCGCCCAACGTGAGGCTACGGTGAGTTTCAAGACTGGTAGAGTGATGATTGTGTCAAAAGAATATTGTAACAAAATTCCCTAATCCCCACGCCACTGATCGGCTGGTCCCCTGTATGATGTCAACCTGATATACGGCCTGTCAACTATGAGATGTCAACGCTCATAGTGCAATAACGGAAATTTCATTTCGTTTTCTTTGTTAATACAAAGACCAATATACCAAATACAGTTTTCTCTATCGGTTCTCGTTTAAATCTTCCCATGTACTCAACTTCCCTAATAATTATCTCACAAATTGGCGCCCAACGTGGGGCCACGTTGAGTTTCAATACTGGTAGAGTGATTATTGTGTGCCGATCGCGATTTTCGTGTATTGTTCGACGAAACCTATGGTGTTTTTCGCGCTCGTTTGGTACGGGAGTCATTACCGAGAAACAGCCGAATTTTGAACAACTGTGACGCGTTTGGTAATGCGTGAGTTATTACCGGCTTTCTGTACTTTTTGTGTGAATTATCACCGAAACTTTGTCGAAATCGTTACGAAGACAAGTTGTTTTATACATCGTTCGATTTCCAGAGAGACTAGAAATTTCTGTAAGAGATTTAATATGACGTATATCCTTCGATTAATAAAGTCGACATTTTGATTGCCTTCTTTTCACTTATACTTCAAATCATTCAATCCTTTATAATTCGATAGCCATATAAATTCTTTAGGCGCAACTGCAATATCGGATATCTATACCGGGTGGTCCTCCGGGAATGACATCGATTGCTTATGGGAAAACTGTGAAAGGTAAAAATTTGAAAATTTGGCAACATAGCAATGTCGATGGGGGACATCTAGGTAAAATATTTTCAAGATGGCGGCATTTCCGGTCATACCGGAAGTTGATACCAACTCGGTTATTTTAAATAGAACACCCCATATATTAATGTATTTTTGGATTCTACATAAAATTCTGAGCAGATTTCATGTAATATACCCTATACCTAAGTTCAACTGTTTTGGAAATATTGACAGTTGAAAATTGACTTTTTGCAACTTTGACAAGCTGTAAAACCTAATTGGTTAATTTTAGAGGAAAACCGATTTCACATTCCTATCTTAGATTTTGATAAACTATCATTTGACACCAACTTTGAACTTAAACGGAGATTAAATTTAACTGAAATTTTTAATCATGGATTTAATTCAAAGTTGATGTCAAATGATAGTTTATAAAAATCTAAGATAGGAATGTGAAATCGGTTTTCCTCTAAAATTAACCAATTAGGTTTTACAGCTTGTCAAAGTTGCAAAAAGTCAATTTTCAACTGTCAATATTTCCAAAACAGTTGAACTTAGGTATAGGGTATATTACATGAAATCTGCTCAGAATTTTATGTAGAATCCAAAAATACATTAATATATGGGGTGTTCTATTTAAAATAACCGAGTTGGTATCAACTTCCGGTATGACCGGAAATGCCGCCATCTTGAAAATATTTTACCTAGATGTCCCCCATCGACATTGCTATGTTGCCAAATTTTCAAATTTTTACCTTTCACAGTTTTCCCATAAGCAATCGATGTCATTCCCGAAGGACCACCCTGTATATAGACCAAGAGAGAGCAGCTAATTCGACATTCTCCAAACAGATAGTAAATCCTCCTTTTGTGTCGCACGTTTCTAATATCTAAGTCCTGGGCCCCCGAACCCGGGCTCTGTGCAATATTAATTTCCCGGATCCGGCCCGATGAAGAGGGAAGAAAAGGGCGAAGGGGGCCTGGAAATCGACAGGGGATTTATTCGGGAATATAAGCTTCGAGATGAATTCTTTGACTCGATTAACGTCCGTGGTGCTCTATGATTACTTCCGGGATAATAATCATTTCAGTCTGGAAACAGATTGAAATTTACTTTTTTTTTATGCTATGAAAATACAAGAAGGTTTGAATTCCGAGACAAATGTTGTTTTGCCTCTATCATAACATTTTTCAAAAGTCTGGCAAAATTTCTGCAGTAACTCACCCTGGCTAGTTTATTTTTCAAAAAAAAAAACCCGAAATCCGATTCGAGGGATAAAATATAACCTCCGGAAGGCACTGCACACAGGCAAAGAATGATACTTTTCGCTCCATATAACTCTGAAGGGAAATTTTCAAGCTCAATCGGATCGCAAACTGCTTGTTCCCAACTTTACGCCTAATGCACCGGGCAATGGAAAAACTTCCATCTTGTTTCGCTCAAAATACGGAAAGTTTAAGCCGGCTCGGGCTAGGGTAGTACATAGCAGATTCAAGGCATATGTGCCAGAACTATGGAAACTTTTGTCTTTTAAAAAAGTTACTTTTTTGTTTTGTTTTTGCTATGGCCATCTTTCATGAAGGATCTAGAGATTTAACGAATTGATGGCAGAGATTTTTCGAAATTTTTGTTTAAAATTTCCTGTAAAGTATAAGCTCTTCTCTCGAGGGGTTTTTAAATATTTAAAAAAGGCGCACTGCGTTGAAAGTTTTAGCTTTCAACCCTAAATGTTTCAATTAATTCAGGTTTTTTGAATAAAACACATTTTCGCATTTAGGTATATTACAATATCGTTATTTTTAGTCTTATAAGATCAGACTTATTAATTGTTATTCAATAAGCATAATGGGTAATTATTATCACTGGACGGTTCTAAATCTATATAAGATTTTCTTGTTGCGTTGAGATCTCTGAAACAGTAAAAAGAAATCAATTAGGGCTAAAAGATTCAACAAAATTAAATCAATCAATATAAAATTGTCAATTCTGAATCTGATTGGTCAAAATTCATAGAAAACAATTAGTTTCTGAAAAAAATTTAAATGTGCTGAAACTGAAGACTTTGTTTTAGCACTGGTAACAGCCTTCGAAATTTCTTAAGTCTTGAGTGCTGTAAAATCTTAACAGTGCGACCCTTCGAAGACATTGACATCGAACTTAAATTAAGAACTTCAAGAGGTTTTCAAATTTTCATGGCCTTTTTAAAATGAGAGGTTACAGTCTAAAATTCTTCAGAGAATTCAGAAGCCTTAAGTTTGAGACCCTGATAATTCAGGTCTCAGGAATCGTTTCAGTCTTAGATCTTGAATCAGCAGAGACTTCATTCCGAAATCCTGAAAAATGAGTTTGTCTCTGATGACAGAATCTTCAAAAAAGTCATTGTTTAGTGTTGTGCTTCAAGAATCTTCAGTTCTAAAATCTTTGGTTCTCTTTAAACGTGTCAGTCTTAAGGCTTAAATCAACTGAAACTTAAAGTTTGACGCTCAATTGCGTTCTGACGATTTTACAATCTGCCCTCTGCCAGGTTTGTTTCAGTGAATCATTTTCGACTAGCAGCCCACAGCGCCTTCAAAGTAAAGCTTCTAGGTGAAAGTTCTTGCAAGGTTAGTCTAGATTTGCCTGATTCAAGAATGGCTTCTAAGCTTTTAGGAAATCTATTCTTGTTCCGTTTCAAATCGGAGACTTCTAATAGGAACTCCTTAATGCTGGTCTATTCTGAGACAGTGCTAGCATTGAGCTGAGTATAGTTACCTGGATAATGCGACCAGAACCTTGTTTGATTTGAGAATTATACTGCTGTAACTTCTACAGCTATCTTACTAACTTTGGTTCTGATTGTTGCAAAGCATGGTCTGTTCTAATGAGAAATTTTTGTTCATACAAGTACTTGTGGAAATGGTCAACAGCTCTAACTATTGCTAACAGTTCCTCTCTTGCAACGCAGTAATTTCTCTCGAGCTCCATCTTCTATTTGCGACAGGATCTGCGTTGCTCGCGTCTGTGTCCAAAATAAATTTTCCATGTAGCCGTGGATAGCCTATTATGAGATTGGAACATAGAGCAGCCCTTAGCCTCTTGAAAGTTACGTCACAATCAGTGGTCCAATCAAAAATAGCTTTTTTTCAGTAAGTTTATACAACAACGCTGCTACTTTAGCAAACCCTTCTACAAATCGTTTGTAGTATGTCCAATTCCAAAGAAACTTCTAAGTTCATGCTTGTTCCGAGGTCGAAGCCATTGACAAATTCTTTGGATTTTTCTCTCGTCAGTATGAATTCCTTCGGGTGAAACTACGTGTCAAGAAAATCAACGCGCTGTAGGAAGAATAAAAATTTCTTGTCATCTAATTGGAGGTTTGCCTTAAGGTTATTAGTAAATAGTTCTGGTAAGTTTCGTAGGCGGTCATAGGAAGTTTTCCCCATCGCGAACACATCATTCAGGTAGGCAAGGCATACTTTCCACGTAAGTCCTCGTTGTACGATTTCTATCAACCTCTCGAAAGTAGCGGAGGCGTTCCAGAGTCCAGAAGGCAATACCTTGAATTGGTAAAGACCACTTCCAGTGAAGAACGCAGTTTTCTCTTTGTTTTTTTCGTCATTGCCCCCTGCTAGTCTCCGCTTTTTAAATCCAAAGTAGCAAACCAATTTGAGTCTGCGGTATCGTCATTTGTGGGTAATGGGTAGCTGCCTTTCTTAGTGACATCATTAAGCTTTCTGTAATCGACGCAAAATTTGGTAAATCCATCTTCCTCTTGTGGAGGCGCACAATGGGCCGAATGTGGCCTAAGTGCTATGGCATACCATACCACCCTTACAAACTGACAGATACAGATAGGGATCCAGCTCACAGCATTTGCAACTTGAATTTTCGGATGCCGCCCAACATTCCAGTGTTTTCTTCAAAACTTAACAGGCTATGACAGCCATCTATTTATCAAACAGCGTTGTTGTGAAAAGATACAATTGATATTCTTGCACAAAATATATTTCATTTTGCAAAGTCAATATCGGTTGATAGAATTGAATACTCTGACAATAAAATTAGAAATATTTTTATTAAGCTCAACTTTTTAGACTATTTTCGTGACTTCATTGGTGAAAACTTGGATCCTAGTCAATCGAAAAATTCCCATCACTCACATATCATCCAGATACACATGGCATACTTTTCACGTAAATCCACGTTATACTATTTCCATCAGCCTCTTGAAAGTAACGGGAGCGTTACAGAGTCCAAAAGGCATTACGTTGAATCGGTAAAGACCACTTCCAGTGGAGAACGCTGTCTTCTCTTTGTCTTTTTCGTCAATGCCCACCTGCCAGTATCCGCTTTTAGTAGAAAACCAATTTGAGTCTGTCATAAGGGTACAGTCAATTCTGGGTAACGGGTAGCTGATGTCTTTCTTAGTGACATCATTAAACTTTCTGTAATAGATGCAAAATTTGATACATGCATCTTTCTTTGTTCCTAGTACAATTGGCGATGACCACGGACTTGAAGACTGTTAAACAACTCCTTCTGAAAGCTAACTGTCTACTAATGACTCCACTTCTTGTTGCTAGGACATGCGAAGTCTTCTAGATGGTTGACGGATCGAATAAGCACTGACATTTCATGCCTAATGATGTTCGTCTTACCAGTTTCGCCATTTTTACTCTCAAGGGCCTTCTTCTCACGAGGGACTGTTTCTTGAAGATACACATCTGTATCTTATATTCATTCAAGTATTTTTATTATTAGGTTCACGCTAATTGTTATATTCTTCACTACTAAAGTTTAACTATTTTCACGGTAACAAACTTCTGAAACCTTGACCTTGTTTTTCTACTTTAACATGGTAGTAGATTGCGTGAGCTAGAACGAAGAAGCACAGCTGCAAGTAGAGAAGAAAAAGGAAAATATGAGGATACACTCAAGTTGTTTATCCAAGCAGATAGTCAAGTCTTACTTCTGTTAACAATAAATATGACGCAGGAGACTCTAAAAAAGGTAAAGAGATTCTCATCAGCCAGAGAAATGTGGCTTGCCTATATGGAGGATAAAACCTATGATCTTTGTACGGAGTTGTTCAGTTATATAAGGAAAAGTGAAGATGATATAGCTTCTCATATTTCAAAACTGAAAACACTATGGAATAATAGTTTGCAGATATTAAAGAAAAGCTTGTTTTAGGTAATAGATGTAGTTGTGAATGGTGAGATTCTTGTATCTTTGTTGGAAGAGTATTTTTCTTTTGAAAGTGGTTGGATGTTGATGATGAAATCTTGACGAATGGTTGATAATTTGACAACTCAGCTATGTGCATTTGAAAAAGCTTTGTCACATCAAAATTATAATAAAGCCGGAAACACACCTTCGACACGGTACGTCACGATACGAACTGGCGCGTGCAGTACGTAAAGTGAGGTTTTGAATTTTATGTGTCTATTTAAGGCCGAAACCCACTAGCAACACGCCACGCCACCCCACGCTATGTGACACAGGTTCACGTGGGACAGTTTGTGTGCAAATGGACGGATGGCGTGGCGTGCCATGGCGTGGTATCGCGTATGGCAAGTGTGTACGCAGCACATATAAATAAATGCAAGAATATACGCATACATTTTCGTCACATGGCGTGGCGTGGCGAAGCATGACGTGGCGTGTTGCTAGTGGGTTTTGGCCTTTATGGATCTCGATCACACACATCACATAACACGCGTGTCTCCGCTTGTCATTGATTTGTGGAAATCCACACTTTCCTCACACGCGTGCTGGGTACGCAAGCAGTTTTGTGGAAAATTGTGTATGTTTGTTTGGTTAGTGTTTGTGGTTTGAAAAACAAAAATAGAGATTGTTATTCTTGAACAATATACGATGAAATTGTTCTAATGATTCCTTCTTTTCGTTAAACTCATCTACCCATAATGTCCTATGACTTGCATTATTTTCTAATATTTGTAAACATACTGCCGCCTTCTCCTAGTTCTTCTTCCCAATCGCCAATCGGAAGAATCGACGCTTCTGGCACATTCCATTCTTTAAAGGGGGTGTGACCCTAAAAAACGACTTAAGCTACCTTAATTAAGAAAAAAAATCTAAGATCTCTCGTGAAAACCGCAGCCCTATATTCAAAATAGTCTCCGAGAAAATTCCATTTGAAGATAAATTATGCAGGAGTTTGTGATGTCACAAAAGCCGAAATCGCAGTCTTCTGTTCGTTCAGGCGTCAGTGAACCGTACCCCATACTTTAAGTGGTTGTAATTAGCTTTAGGAGATAATTGTCTTTTGTTTTAGAAAATTTTTACACGTGTTTATACTGTTCTTGATAATCCAGCGTGACGTCACAAAAACCTAGTTGTAACTTTAAATCGCCCTAACTCGAAAACGGATCATCGTAGCAAGATGCGGTTTAAATATTTATTCTTAGATTTTTTTGCACTAAAACTTTCATTTTTGGGTCACACCCCCTTTAATACAACATATACGAATATTATTTCTTGAACTAAAATTACCGGAAAAAAACTAGTCTGTATTATCGGTACAGGGTATGAAGCATGTTGTGTAAGCAAAGAATGTGTTTCTAAGCTCAAAATTTTATTATACATTACGAGCTGGCGCGTAACGTAATGTACCGTGTCGGAGGTGTGTTCCAGGCTTAACTGTGTACAAGAGCAGGCAGTACGTTTACAACGGCAAGTAGACAGAGAGGTCAAATCAAATTTCACTATTGTAAGAAAATTGGTCATGTGATAAGACAGTGTTGTTACAAATGGATTGTAGATGGAAGACCAGATACTTCAGAAATTTAGCAAACAGTGCAGTCTTGTTTACCATGACATCAAGAATGTTGTTTCAAGTTGTTGATACGGAACACTTGTTGATAATGGAGCAACTTATCACATTTGCAATAGACGAGAATTATCCAAG